ATGTATATTTTCAATTCTTTCAGAGTTAAAAGATGCCAATTAATTCTGCCAGACAGATTTTGAACCAGTTGAGAACTACACAGAAGAGTCAGATAGAGATTATATTGTAGGTGAAGGCTGGACCAACATCTGACTCAGACCTATAGCCAAAGTGCACCTTCACACACACCCCTTTTTCTGTTTCCTAGTTTAAGTTCTGGTTCCAGGCTGCAGAATCCCAGCATAAGGAGCAGGGACACTAGAGGCAGGTGTTGTAGGGAATTGACTTGAGGCTCTCGGGGTGATACCATTGGTCCTTTGGCTGCTTCCATGAGTGAAGCTCTATTTTTGTGGGCTCTAAGTAGTCCCGGCCCTCCTGAGGGGGTCACCAAATCTTCTTATCTCACCATAAAGACAGTGAGATCTCTGGAATGTTGGTACTGATTCTCCAGATCTGTGCTCTGCATACACAATGAAACTTATTGCTGATCTCAGTTTCTTTACAGCCACGTAAACCTTTGTGACTGTATGCAAGTAGGTTAACCTATCTGAGCTCTGGATTTCTTATATGTGAAGTAGGAATAGTTACCCAACCTATAGGACTGGAGAGAAAGTACTCGGTTGGGGCCTAGCACATCATAGGCCCTCATGGGGGCCGTCACGCTGAGCCTGGTTCAACACCATGAGGAACTTGGCTTTCCATTCTAGACTGAGCCTTCTCCCTATGTGCCAAGCAAGTCTCTCTTGGAGCCAAGTGGTCAGGGACACATCTGTGGGCTCAAGTTGGAAATGTGGATTTGGGAAGGACAAGTCTCAACAGAAGTGGGTCATTGAAGACAAGCGTTGGTGCATGGAGGTTCATTGTCTGGTTGGTGGGATTCCAGTTCCATGTTTCAGACCTCCTCCAGATTGGGGGTGGGAGAGGCGGAGTTGTTGGCGGAAGTGTCAACACCCTGAGCCTCCCTTCAAACCCATATTTAGGACTGTCTAAGGCAAAATGGTGAAATAAGCAATAGTTTCCCCAAAGGACCCACTTCCTCTTTCAGCACCCTTCCCCCAGCCAGCTAAGAAAACAAGTGTCTGAAAACGAATTCACTCCAAGAGGGCAGCAAAATATGAGCTAATTCCAGCCCACCACCTGTTGTACAGCCTATGAACTATAACACAGCGGTTTTTATATTTTTAGATGGTTGGGGAAAAAAATCAAAAGAGTATTTTATGGTATGTCTAAATTACATGAAATTCAAATTTTATTGAGCCATAAATTTTATTGAAACACAGCCACAACCATTTGTTTACTTATTGTCTGTAGCTGCTTTCGGCAGAGTTGAGTAATTGTGACAAAGTCTAAAATATTTACTTTCTGGCCCTTTAAGAAAAAGTTTGCTGATGCCCTGCGCTAAGATATTAGAGATTCAGGTGCCCGGTGGGATTTGCTGTCAGAGAAAGGGGCAAACCAATGGAATCCAGGCCTTGTGGCAGGCCTGAGAGGAGACACCGGGTGAGAAGCATTCCTGATATTCTTGCAATTACACTAGACGGCCTGAGGGAAGCTAAACATCTAGTCCTGCAAGTGGGGCTGCTTCTGTCCACACTGGGAGAAGGGGCATGGAAATGGTGGGGTTCAGGCCTATGACTCATTCTAGCTGTGTAGACAGCAGGACACAAAAGTGCAATGATAATCTTTAATGAGCCTATCCCACTGGCTTCCCCACCCAGCTGGTGGCAGTAATTTTACCTGAGGCCTTTCATGTTCCCAGAGTCCAACAGAGACTCCCTGGAGCAATACATTCATCACTTGCCTCTCTCTTATTTCTGCAGAATTTGCCTTCTGTCAGGTGGATGCCTCTATTGCCCTGGATCTGGCCCTGGCTGTGCTGTGTGACCTGCTCCAGCAATGGGATCAGCTGGCCCCTGGACTCCCAGTCCTGCTGGGATGGCTATTGGGAGAGGGTGATGACCTCACGGTCTGTGTGGAAAGTGTGCATCAGGTAGTCCTGGGGTCTCAGGGCAGTGGAGATGAAGTTGGAGTGTCCTAAACCCACTGGATGCAGCAAAGGCATACTTAAGCCGATAGTGCCTGCTGCAAGTGTGCGTCCGGATGCTCAGAGTAGTAACGAATTAGGAAACTGTCCAAACGTCCATGGCAGCCTGCTGGGGGTTTCGGGGCCGCTCTCATGCTGGCTTTTGGGGTTCTGGTCTGTGGGGACAGAGGACTTTGAAAGAGACCCCTTGGAAGCTGAGAGTTGAATTACAGAAAATTCTTATTAGTCAACATTAGAGCTGGAGGCTCCCTATTGTGAGCTCTTAAGGTGAAATATTTCCAGAGAACTGAGGTCCTTCCAGGGTAGAAAGAAAACTGTTAGCCTGTCCAGGTGAGAGAACAGTCAACAGGTAGGGAAACTGAGGACCGAGACAAGCAGCAAAAGCATCTTGAGTACTGAAAATTCATATCCACCAATGTCTGACTCAGCTGGCCTTCTTGGCATCACTGGCAGGCTGAGAGTTCAAAAAGCAGCCTGTTTACAAGAAATTCGGAGACAAGATAAAGTGTCTGTGATAAAATGACCTTGAAAATCCCCAGTATTATAGAAATTTGATTTCATACTCAGAGACTAGTTAGTGTCTCATGTTTGGTAATTTGCTCTTTTTATGCTGCTGAGAGTTCCCTTCCTCCCTCCTCTCTCATTTCTAGATATACCCTTAGGTCTATGGCCCACTCCCATGTTGAGGTCCCCTTTTCAGCACCAGGCCCCCAAAATATCTTGGCTTGGAACCATAAACACATCTTTATCAAAGGTCATGTTAAGTCTGGGGGTGGGGGTGGGGAATTCCTCTCCAGTAGAGAAGTACAAGTGAAAATAGAAGGTGACCTTCAAGGCTGCAAGTGGTGTGTATATGTGGGTGTTGACAGGCGAGAGTGGGCCCCCGCTCTGGTGGGGGAGGGGACACATCTCTTCTGCATCTGGTAGGACTCTGGTCTGGACTAGGGCTTGTCAACTTTCTCCATAAGGTTGATTTTTGGCTTTTTCATTTGATTGAGGTGGAAGAAGACTACCTGTTTGAAAAAGTAGAAGTCAACTTTTGGGCTGAGACCCTGATCTTCGTAAAATATCTCTACAAGCACCTCTTCTGTCTCCTCTCCAAGTCCAGCTGGCATCCCCTCAGCCCTGAGAGGCTCTGTCATCTTCAAAGGACAACGTCAGAGCAGTGCCACCTCCTTTCTCAGCTCTTCAGAGAACTGCCACCAACTGCTGAGTTTTTGAAGACAGTGGAGTTCACAAGATTGCGTATTCAGGAGGAAAGGACTTTGGCTTGCCTGAGGCTGCTGGCCTTTCTGGAAGGAAAGGAAAAGGAAGACACCCTCGTCCTCAGTACTTCGGACTCTGTGGCAGAAGCAAATCTGTTAACTCTTCCAGGAACAGAAACGGCTTGTTGAAGAAAGAAGATTTGGGGGGTGGGGACAGGTTGGGGGTAGATTAGTCCCCCACTAAACCTGCAGGAAATGTGAACATAAATCAAATATTTTTCCCCTTCATACCTCCCCCACTTCTGTGAGTCTAGTCCACCTACAGAGGAGTTTTTCTTCAGTTCACTCATTCAAGGCAGCCTGGTTTATTGCAGCTACTGTAGGAAGTGAGGCTACCATGTTGAATATTTACTCTGTTCCCAGGTGCAGGCCACCTGCAGGCCTGAATTAGCCTTTTTTGTCCCCCAGGACTTCTAATGTCCAGCCATAGCTGGCCTGCATTTTCTATGAATTGACTACACAGAATTGAGTTTTAACACATGATTCCCCATCCCCCCCCCCACCTCTTTTTTTTTGGCTGGATGTAAGAGCTGGATTAGTTGGCAAACAGCCCACTTGGTCAGAATTCCAAATTTTATTCCAGTTTAGCTAAAGCAGAAATATGTTCCAAATGTTGGATTCTGAGATTAAGGATCAACTTCAAATAGTTTTGTTTTTATTGTCTGCATGTGAGTCCTGCAGTGACCTACACATGCCATCCTAATTATTAAAAGAGCCATTGAGAGCTCTTACCGCCTCTTCCCCCCACCCCCAGAGTGTTTGTGCTAATGCTAGGATACCTGATTTTGCCACCCAGTGAAAGCATAGACTCTTGGCTCTTAAAAAAGGAACCTGGAGAAAGGAGAGCCAGAATAAATGATTTATTTGATGCCTACACTGTTTACTATCATTTTCTAGGTGGCAATAACAAGAAGTTTCTCGTTTAAGATGCCAGAAAACACATTTATCCATTTCAGTAATTGAATCTAGAAACCTTAAGGGTTTTCTGCCTTTCCAAGCCCAGCCCTCTTCCTCAGACACCCAGCAGGTGTCACTCTTGCACACATTTTGCTTCTGGTCCTGTTTTTCATTGGCTTGACATTTTTAACTTGTAATTTCAGGATAAGTGTAACCCACAGAGAGTTATCTTGAAATTCATAGCTTGGATGGGTCGCAGCCTCATCCACATTCATTTTTCATCCTAGTTATCTAAAAAGTCATTTCAGTTAATAGTATGTAAACTTAGTCTGGCTTTTAGGGTTTATAAACATGTTTAAATCTCAGGTGAGCTGTCACTTAGAATTATTTTATTGATGTTTGACGGTCTGAAGGGGCAGTTTAGAAGAGAGTTTGATATGATCATTTCCTACTGCAGAAATGCTTACATTTCTAATATAATTTGTCTCTCTCTGAAAGAATACCACCTAACACTAAAAACACAGCTATAATGGAAGTATAGAGAAAGAGCTCTTTAGGAAGAGGCAGGGAGAAGAGTTAACTTAGTGTCCAAAGTTTTGTCCTAAAGAGAACAGGAAATTCCCTGGGTAGTTTTGCAATCAGCTCAAAATATGGTTTTTTTTTTTTTTTTTTTGTGATCCTGAATTAATTACCTGGTTAGGCATCTGTGTAGCCCACACTTGATGGAAAGTTGCCAACCTAACATTTCTTTTGTTCTTAGAAGACCTGGCTGGTGAGAAGTCAGGGAATTGTTGGCATAATGTGATAACCATGGGAGAATAATTATGAAACTGGCCCCAGTAAGCCCAGTTCATTAGAAAAGGCCAGTGTTCCTTTTTCTCCATTTAAAATGAAATAAAAGCAGTTACATAATAAAAATATTTTACACCAGCAGGTACTCCGTATCAAAGCACATTGGTACCTTAGCATGTTTACATATTATCTCCAGAATCCTTCTACCAACCCTGCAAAGTGGGTATTCTCATAGCTGTTGACTAGGAATTACCCCAGGATTTTATCTTGACTGGCTATGGCCAGCCTGGGAGGGCAGAAAGGACAGATGTGTCACTGGCTTTGTGTCTGAAATCTTGTTGACCTTCCAGTAGCAGTGGCAAGGGAAATGGCTGTCTCACACTTTCCTGATACATTACCAGGAAAACTGTAGAATACCCTCTTGTCATGGCCCCCCTCAGAATTTTGTTTTTGGGCTCATTTCTACAAAGAACATAACAGTCAGGGTGCTTGAAGTGTCAGCCACAGAAGCTTAGCCCTGTGCAGGGACCAGGGTAGGCTGAGTAGTCAGAGTAAAGTAGTCACCTCTTCTGAGGTCACTGCCCTAGGGTCCACACTCTGCGGACGAAGATTTGGTGTCCTTAGCTCTACATTCACGATTCTGTGGACCTGTACCCATCTGGCCATAGTCAAGAGACCTGGCTTTCTCCATTTTTATGCTTTGTCAATTTGTCTTAATAAATAAGATGGATTATACTCATCTTTTAAACACCTTCACAGATAACTCATTTGCACCTTGACAAGGTGAGAGATGAATAAAGCAGGAATTATCTTAGTTTTACCAGAAAACCCAAATACCAAACAGTTTATGTGATTGGCCTAAAATCACATGGCTTGTAAGGGGCAGGGTCTGAACTCCAAACCCTAAGTTTCTGATCCTAAAGTCCTTGCAGCCCTACCCTGACTACCTCCCTGGGCAGGTGGCAGGGATTACAGCTGTGGGCCACTGCACTCAAACTGAACTCTAAGGAGTCTGTTCCTGAATGATAGGTCTAGCTCATTTCCTTCCCGGTTAACTGAGAGAGGGAATGAGCACCTAAAAGAAACGAGGGCAAGGAATCAGCAAGAAATATCAGTTTAGGAAGGGGATGTGGGTCTCTCAGCTTTCTTCCCTGATGGGTACTGGACCTTCCAACTTAAGCCCAGTTGCAGTCTAGGTGGCCAGGTATGCAAAATCATGGGCCAGGCTCCAGCTTTCTGGCAGCATACTTACGACAGGGAGTGACAAGTGTCCTGCGACAGACTCTTATCAGCCTGAATGGGGCTGCTAGCGGCTTTA